TTGTGATTCAAGCTGGAGGAATTCCTTTGTTGAGCCGCTAGAATCCGAAGGAAACAGCGGAAATTGCCTACGACTATTTAATGAATTTAACGGTGATGAATAAGTGCGAAAAACGTTTTGGCTTTATAAAATTTGATGAAATGACCAGGGTAAAAGTTTTATTACTGGCGGTCAATTCAAAACGGCGCAAACATTTAAACAGTGAAGATAGTGAAGCACGATTCAAAGTGTAGTACACCTTTCGTACTTTGAGCGGCGATAGCGGGATAACGGTGTGGAGCTTCGAGGATCGGTCTTCAGTTCCCGGACCAGAAAGGTGGGGCCTATGCAATGTCAAATTTCATCAAAATGGTGATACTGTTCCTTTAAATGCGTGAACTCACGTTGACGATATTCTGGCACTGTGTGTTTCAGTACCTGCCGAAACTTTTATTGCTAAGGTATTTCGACGCAAAACGATTATGGAAGGTGCTAATGAGGCCCAGGAGGAGGAGGAGCCCTCCTGTAATTGGGACGATCAGTGCCCGTTGGAGGGAGGCCTGAATAAAAAAAAAATGCTGGAGCACAAATAATGTAGCAGACATTTGTTTTGATTTTCAACATTTCATTGAACGGTCTGGTTTCTTGCATAATGTATAGAGCCACAGATAACAATAGTACCTACTACTGTTATCTGTGATAGAGTACATATACTAGATGTAGACTTCATTTCAGCTTCCTATTAGTTTACTGTTAGGCTTTTGTTGCATGATATGCTTTCATCAGCATTTATTCATGTTCTGTACCACTGGTTTGCTCATTGCTGGATGCTGGCTGATTGTTTTTTTATTTGAAATGTGTTTCTGGATGTTTGGCCATTTGCTTCTATTTTTAGAGTTGCTTTCTAGGCACTAAATGGACATGTATAGTCTCTCTTGAAAGTATCGCGACTCTGAGGGGAGGGCGCCATCTGTCTTAGCCGCGGTTGGGCGGAAAGTTTGAGAGCCGCTGGTAGCTTTGACCGAGGCCTGACACGCGGTGGCAGCCGGTGCGGCGGGCGAGGGGAGTGGTCGCGCAGGGATGGGGGGGGGGGCGGTCGCCGTGCGGTAACTTGTGATGGCAGTAAGCATGTGGTCAACGGGAGCCACCCTACTCGTAGAGAATTTGTTGAGATTTGTTTCATTACAAAGTTGAAAATTTGATCCGTCATCGGCACGACTACCTGCTACCACAGGTTTTTGGTATAACCCAGAAACCAGTGCACGAAGACGAAAAAATCAGTTGCACCCGCTAACAGAATACATCCGTGGTTGCAGGTGCACCCGCGAGCGGATTCCAATCACAAAAATATATGCTCTCTAGCCACATAGTCCTTTATTTGAACCTGCTCTCTTTTTTAATGAGCCGGCTAGCGAACAGCGACAAAAAATGTTGACCGTCCAGCCGTTTTCTTTTTAAAAGCCTTATTTGATGCCAGGTTATCGCCCCCGCCCCCTCCCATGACCTGTTTACGTCGTTTAGAAGGCCTCTTCAGAGTATGGTTATGACGGAAATTTGCTTCGTTGTGATTTTACGTGTTACGCACACTGTGTTAACAGTGATCGGCGCCCACCAAGACAGACCAATGAGCGCCCGACTGATGAACCCAAGCGGCGCCGGTATCCGCCTGGGGCGTTGGACGGGGTCAAGGGAGAGCGATACGAGCATGACCCCTGGCCGGCCTCCACCTGTTTCGACCCAGTTGTCAGCCGCTGGTGCCTGCGTCATACAGCAGTTCTTTTGCCGCTGGCGTAGGATCGTGTCACAGCGTACGTTTTATGATACAGGCCATGACCTCACTGCTGGGGTCCTCAAACTGAATGGAATAGTTCGCCGAGCCGCCGCGGCGGCTGCGGCGCGCCGCAGCCCGTGAAGCGATACTTTTAAGAGAGACTATACATGTACAACATCAAACATACCTATCATAACTTCTGTCAGAATAATACTAAATAGTTACAACATCAAAACACCGCCACCAAAGTCAAATGGTACTAAACCTTTCTACTCAGGATGCCAATCTCTCAGGATTCTTAAAATTTTACTTAAGATCCAAGATCCCCAAGATCCCTCGACAAATTCAAAAACCAGGATCCAATATCTCCAGGATCTATCGGCGAAATGATGACACAGAGTCCTGGATCTCCAGGATCCATCGACAAAAGCTGCAGTGTTGGATCCAAGATCCCACAAGATCCCGGATCTTGGATCTTGCAGATCCCGGATCCCGGATCTTTTTGGGATCTCTTGTTTCAATACGATATTGGTGTGACGTTTTTTGAAAAGTTTAGGCAATTCTCTTTCGTTTCAACACATTTTGAAAAAAAGAAAAGAAAAAAATCTTTAACAAAAGCAATAAAGCAAAAAACCTATGGGGGGCGGCATCAGCCGCCCCCCCCCCCCTCGGCCGGCGAGGGTTAAAACTGACTCATGCCCTGGGCGGTGCACGAGGTCAGCGGAGAGCGATACGAGCATGACCCCTGGCCGGCCTCCACCTGTTTCGACCCAATTGTCAGCCGCTGGTGCCTGCGTCATACAGCAGTTCTTTTGCCGCTGGCGTAGGATCGTGTTACAGCGTACTTTTTATGATACAGGCCATGACCTCACTGCTGGGGTCCTCAAACTGAATGGAGTAGGGGAGACCCGGGAGGTATGGGCCGGTTTTGTGAAATGGTAATTTTCTTCCAGTGGGCAGTGGCTATATCTTTTTTTCACTCTTTGTACGTGACATCGCCTTTCGCCTGTAAAGTGCGCCTGATATTAGGTATCTGGGATCAGCTATTTTGTCTCGAGATAACTTTTAATAAATCATGCGCTTTTTTGATCTATCAAAATACGCCGGGAGGTATGGGCCATGTTCCGGGAGGTATGGGCCGGTGTCATGTTTCATATCCTTTCCTCGACATTGAGAACAATACTCGTAGCTGGGATCTACCTTGAGCTGTCTTAGAGCTCATGTACCGCATGAACGGCCAACAGCTTACTTCATGGAGGCCACTTGGGCACATATTTATTACGGTTAACTCAATCATGTTCCATGAAATAAGACAAACAATATTTTTATGTTCAAATGCAATCTATAGTTATATTTTCGACAATGCGCGATAAAAACAAAACTTTTTCATGAGGACAATCAAAGAAAGCATCATTTTATTGTTTGAGGATCACTGGGGGGGGGGGCGAACCTCCCGGCTAGGACGCCAGAATGTGCGTAGCATCTCAGCTCATAATCTTGCAAGAAAGTTTCAAATTGTCTATCCAATCTTAATTCGCATGTTGTAAACTTTACGTTATCGATGGTCTGACATAATAAAACTAGCCCGGTTCACGTTGATCACGAATTGACTTTATGTACCGTATTTTACTCGAAGAGGGCAAAAACGCTGTATCGCCGCTCATTGCCAAAGCAGACTGAGAACGATTTTGGAAATCACGTGGGTTGTATAACGGAATGGCTGCTACCAGTTAACGTGGTTATACGTGTAAAAATACGCAGCACTTCTTCAAAACTGCGATGGCCCATAGTCCATACCTCCAGGGGGCCCATACCTCCCGAGTCCCGGGTCTCCCCTAGTTAGTTCGCCGAGACGCCGCAACCCATGACGTGACGCAATACTTTCAAGATACGCGATACGCTGTTAGTGCCAAATTACATGCTTGCTGTATGTAGGGGAGAGTGGGGTAATTTGGCCGCTTTTTTTAGAAATCGATGTAACTTAAAATTGACGACACATTTCTGCATTTTCTCAACGCTGGCAGGTGTCGCATTCATTTTACTTTACTGGACAGTGAACTTGAAATGATAGAGTAATTACTTATATTGAAACTGTGACGTATTACAAAGGTCTGCAAGGCGGCCAAATTGCCCCACTAGCAGGGTTATTTGGCTGGGGTGTGGGGTAATTTGGCCGGTGTTAGTTTGCGGTCGGGATTTTCTCTTATATTGCGAGTCAGCTTCAGATTCAGCAATGACGTGTGTCCTATGACGCATTTGCCGCATTTTGGAGGTTGACTCAGGGGTCACAGGGGTCACAATAGCCAAATTAGCGGCTCTAGATGCGAGGACAGTTTTTTTACGAATAACTTTTGAAGTAATCAAGCTAGGCCAAAACTTCGAGTACCATCGTAATTTTCTCGTCAGTGCGCATCGAAACATATATGTGTTGACCTCGAGAAGTCAAGGTCAAAGGTTGACCTCAGGTCGCATTACCTCAGGTCGCTTGACCTCAAGGTCACGTGATTTCAAGGTCATCATGCATATCATTCGATGCGCCTTGGCGAACTGAACAGAATGAGACCATTTGTGTGGCTGTACCATTTTTATGTAAGGATTTATTAGCAAAAAACGTTTGGTAGCCTTTGATGACGTCACATGCTCTTACAGTTGACCAATCGGAAGTAAGGCATCAAAGAAGTCAAAGTTGGTCATGAATCATGTCATTTATGGTACAATTGACCATGAAAACTCGGCCGTCCTAGCATAGTGACCATGAGCGCACCGGCCAAGTTGCCCCGCTAGTCCCGGCCAAATTACCCTATATTGCCATTCTGAAAATTTTTGTCTATAAAGTCATCACGGCTATACGGAATTAGATGAAATTGCTCTTGGAACCGCTGAACACCCCCAAGAATGGCGCTATAATGTCTGAATTCGTTTTTAGCCCAAATACTACATGTTATACAACTTTGTAAACAGAAGCAAAAGTTACCATTTTCTAATGAAAATAACGTTTTATTAATTTTGAATAAAACTACGAGGGGCAAAGTTTTGACATTTGTCCTCCAGTTATTTCTTCCCATGACAAATGAATAGAGACTAGAGTTATTTCACTCACTTTTATTAGACATGGTACAGGAGGGGGCGGCCAATTTACACCACCGGCCAAATTACCCCACTCTCCCCTACCTAAAATGAAGATCGCCAGGACCATCTTGATTGTGAAAAGAAGCATTACCTGTTAACATGCCTATTTATCTTGTTACAGGGGAGCATAGGACGGATAAGTACCTGTCCGAGGTGAATCCTTTTGGATTGGTGCCAGCTATTAACCAGGATGGCTTTAAGCTCACCGAAAGGTAAGACTGATTTAGTTCTTAACAACTATCATTTTAAACCGAATTATGGCCGAACAAATCGTAACGGTCGTCAAGTTAGATGTATAAGCGAATCCTAATCTATAATCTAAGATTCGGAGTCAGGCGAGTCCCTCCGATTTGGACCAAACTTGGTCAGTAGATAGAACGTAACGTCCTGATTTCGATGCACCCAAAGTCTAAGCTAGGCCCGCCATATCAACGAAGTCACGGAGGTTTGAATTTCAAGTTGATTTGGGTGAGCCCTACGATTTCCGTCAAAATTTGTATACGGATACTTAAGATACCCGTCATTAAGAATATCGCAAAATTATAGTTCGGCCCGCCATGTTTTAAATGTTAGAGATTTGAATTTCAAGGTCATCATGGCGAGCCCCTGCGATTTCCGTCAAAATTTGGTAGGTACCTATACGAATATATTGCAACCTCCTCATGACGAATATCTGCTATTATAAATCCTAAAAAGTCCGCCGCCGTCGGGGTAACTCCCAAAATGGCTCATTACGGCGCCGTCGATTGACGCAGGAGGGTGAACTTTTTGCCACTCGTGGGTCGCGTTATTCAACAGGTCGTATTAAATTTTGGGCACGATGCGGCCGGGGGTGCGCCCGTGGCGCGTGCTCACGTGGTGTGCCATAGGGTTTACACTAGAATCGGCAACAGGCTATTGCTCGGGAACGGTAAGGGCTACGGGGGTGAAATTTTCGCTGTAAGTCGGACGCGTGCACTCAATTGTCGTATTAAATTTTCGAGGGTGTGGGTTCAGCGGTGTGCACGTGGTGCGGCCGCGACCGGCGCCGAGCAGAACGCACGTGCTTTAGTCTCAGTTGTTCGCTTCCAAAACTGAGTGAAAAGCATCAGAGCCGGGAGGTCATTGACCTTTGACAACGAAGGCCGACACAAGGCACCGCTCGCCCAGGGGATTCGCCAGTAAATACAATAAATTTGTTCTTGCAAAATCTCAGCCGTTTCTGGGCCGATTTAGCTGAAACTTGGATTGTCGGTGGCAGTGTATGGTAGGGTAGGGTAGTGTAGGGATAGGGTAGGGGTAGGGTAGGGTAGGGTAGGGAAGGGTAGGTTAGGGTAGGGTAGGGTAGGGTAGGGGATTGTAGGGCAGGGTAGGGTAGGGTAGGGGATTGTAGGGTAGGGTAGGGTAGGGTAGGGTAGAGTAGGGTAGGGTAGGGTAGTGTAGGGGTAGGGGTAGGTTAGGGTAGGGTACGGTAGGGTAGGGGATTGTAGGGTAGGGTAGGGTAGGATAGGGTAGGGTAGGGGATTGTACGGTAGCGTAAGGCAGGGAAGTGTAGGGTAGGGTAGGGGTAGAGTAGGGTAGTGTAGGGGTAGGGTAGGGTAGGGGATTGTAGGATAGGGTAGGGTAGGGTAGGGTAGTGTAGGGTAGGTTATGTTAGGGTAGGGTAGGGTAGGGTAGGTTAGGTTAGGGTAGGGAAGGGTAGTGTAGGGGTAGGGTAGGGTAGGGTATGGTAGGGTAGTGTAGGGGTAGGGTAGTGTAGGGTAGGTTAGGGTAGGGTAGTGTAGGGGTAGGGTAGGGTAGGGGTAGGGTAGGGTAGGGTAGGTTAGGGTAGTGCAGGGTAGGGTAGGGTAGGGCAGGGTAGGGTAGGGTAGGGTAGGGGTAGGGTTAAGTTCAAAAAGGGCCTAACATACAAAACACTTGAACACCCCGCACCTATCACCAACCTTACAGTTTAATTAAAAATAGCTACCCAAATCTATCCAAATAATACATCTAAAAATACAAGTCAATCACCCCAACTAATGCACCCGTAACATAACATAAATCAAAACATACCTACAGTTATCGCGTAAACCTGTACCTCTAGTCACCAGTAAAACGCCTTTTGGGCGAAGAACGAGCGAGCCAGATAGTGAGCCCTGCACGTGCAGAAGGGCGAGAGGGTACTTCCAACGGGCTTGTGCAAAGCACCCTTCTAACCGGTCGCTAGCGGTGTACCAAATTTGAACGCAATCGGCCCAGCCGTTCCTGAGATCTGGAAGCGGCATTCTGCACGTGCGCACGTGCAAACGGGGTCCAAAATGACTTTTGCACGGCACCCTACTAACCGGTCCCCAACCGCGTACCAAATTTGAGCGCAATCGGCCCAGCCGTTCTCGAGATCTGGAAACGCCCCCTGCACGTGCGCACGTGCAGTAGCACCCTAACCGCAACACATGGGAATGCATTGCGTGGTGGGTGCCTACCTGTATGCCAAGTTTCAGCGAAATCGCCCCAGTAATTACCGAGTTACTGAAATGGCAACAAATTTGGCACCTCTTATTGTTGTATTTTGCACGTGCAGTGGGGGTCACTCACATAGATGAAGAGTATCCGACCTTTGGTAGAAGGGATGCAGCTACCCTATAAAAATGACCGCAAGACAATCGCTCAAGCCGCTGCTGAGATATGGGCCTCTCAAAATCATTACTTTTGCAAAACTGCTTGAACACCCTCCTTGACTTTTCACGTGGCACGTGCCACGGCGGTCACTGAGATGTATCAAAAGTAGTCAATTACGGGGTAGAAGGGATGGGGCTACCCAGCAAAAAAGACCGCAGGCCATTCGGTCCAGCGGTTGCTGAGATATAAGCCTCTCAAAAGCGTTACAGGCCGGGCCGGGCCGCTCATACTGAGATTTTTCCGTTATATTGAAAAGACTTCGCTTCGCTCGCTGCGCTCGCTCGCTCGTAATAAAAGTTAAGCTAGGCCCGCCATTTTAAAGTTAGGGAGTCACAAAGCTACGGAATTTCAAGGTCATCGGGCGAGCCCCTGCGATTTTCGTCAAAATTTGCATATGGACACATTACATGCTAGTCTCCATTACGAATATCATAAAAATTCAGCTCGGTCCGCTTTATGTATTTTAAAAGCTACAGAAGTTTGTATTTCAGTGAATTTTAAACCTCATTAACTTTTGTAACAGTGCAGGCCAAGCTTAACTTTTACGATATTCGTAATGAAGAGCTGCAATGTGTCCGCATACAAATTTTGACGAAAATCGCTGGGGCTCGCCCAATGACCTTGAAATTCCGTAACTTTGTGACTTCCTAACATTAAAAATATGGCAAGCCCAGCTTAACTTTTATGATATTCATAATTAGGAAGATGTGGTATGTCCGTATACCAATTTTGACGGAAATCCCAAGTGCTCGCCATGATGACCTTGAAATTCAAACCTCCGTAACTTTTGAAATATTGCGGGCCGATTTTGTGATATTCGTAATGAAGAGCATCTACAGTCACTCACATTCTCTTAAGTTGCCCGCACCTCGAACCAGGGCTGCGGAGTCGGAGTCGGAGTCGGAGTCGGTCGGAGTCGACAGTTGTGACCGGAGTCGGAGTCGGAGTCGGAGTCGATTTTAGAAACCCGAGCCGGAGTCGGAGTCGGAGTCACCGAAAATCTGTCGACTCCGCAGCCCTGCTAGGTCTGCGGAGTCGGAGTCGGGAGTTGGAGTCGGTCGGAGTCGACAATTCTGCCCGGAGTCGGAGTCGGAGTCGGAGCTGGTTTTTGAAAGCCGGAGTCGGAGTCGGAGTCGGAGTCGCCGAATATCCATCGACTCCGCAGCCCTGCCTCGAACCAAACCGGACACGCTGCCTCGGCCGCATTGCCCCTGGCACCACCATCCGCCACCTGTTGGGTGACGACTCACCCTGGGTTTTATCCGGCGGCATCTTTTCTTACATTCAATCCATCAGTTTTCCTGTGATATACTCGTTTTACTAGTACCAGTAAAACGCCTTTTGGGCGAAGAACGAGCGAGCGAGATAGTGAGCCCTGCACGTGCGGAAGGGCGAGAGGGTGCTTCCAACGGGCTTGCGCAAAGCACCCTTCTAACTGGTCGCTAGCGGTGTGCCAAATTTGAACGCAATCGGCCCAGCCGTTCCTGAGATCTGGAAGCGGCATTCTGCACGTGCGCACGTGCGAACGGGGTCCAAAATGACTTTTGCACGGCACCCTACTAACTGGTCCCCAACCGTGTACCAAATTTGAGCGCAATCGGCCCAGCCGTTCTCGAGATCTGGAAACGCCCCCTGCACGTGCGCACGTGCAGTAGCACCCTAACCGTAACACATGGGAATGCATTGCCTGGTGGGTGCCTACCTGTATGCCAAGTTTCAGCGAAATCGCCCCAGTAATTACCGAGTTACTGAAATGGGAACAAATTTGGCACCTCTTATTGTTGTATTTTGCACGTGCACTGGGGGTGACCCACATGCATCGAGAGTATCCTATTTTGGGTAGAAGGGATGCTGCTGCCCTACAAAAATTACCGCAAGTCAATCGCCCAAGCGGCTGCTGAGATATGAGCCTCTCAAAATCACTACTTTTGCAAAACAGCTTGAACACCCTTGACTTTTCACGTGGCACGTGCCACGACGGTCACTGAGATGTATCAAAAGTAGTCAATTACGGGGTAGAAGGGATGGGGCTACCCAACAAAAAAGACCGCAGGCCAATCGGTCCAGCGGTTGCTGAGATATAAGCCTCTCAAAAGCGTTACAGGCCGGGCCGGGCCGGGCCGGGCCGGGCCGCTCATACTGAGATTTTTCCGTTATATTGAAAAGACTCACTTCGCTCGCTGCGCTCGCTCGCTCGTAATAACGTATCTCAAGTAGTTCTAGCCTTCTTCAGTTCGTCAGTTCTCTGTTGACATATCCGCTTTACCAGTACAGCGTTATGGGCGCAAAATGACCACCGCAGTCGACGCGCCTGTAAACCCTAATGAATGAATGAAGAGCATCTAGAGCAGTGGTCGGCAGGTCCTTCGGAGTCGTGCCCCCTTTCTGGGCGCCAGGCAGGGCCATTACCCCCACCTACTAGACTCCATTGCTTACATGACCAATTTTACTGAAAATCCATACCTTTCCGTGACTCTTTGGGTATTTTTGCGCTTCCGATGCATCAAATTTAACCCACGCCCTGCTGGGGAGGGCGTGTTTGAACACCTGCCGGTTTTTTCGCGAATGTCTA